ATCACTCAAAAAGAGCGCCTTCTGTTCCAAAGATAGGTATGAGATTGATATCGAGGTACTGGCTGTGACTGTATGTATCGCTCCTGAGAACCAAAAGAGTGGGTTGAAATTGTAAGTAAGATCTCCCTATGCACGGAACGAGACAAAGGTGAACTGTGCAAGTTTGCCTACCATAAACTTGAACTTTTCGACAAACGATGGTTTCGAAAGACGCAGAATCAACTCTTTGGAAGGGTGTGAATAGAGACCAATCCTGTTCACAATTTGAGTAGCAACCAAACAGCACTGGAGAAATTCGGCGGTCACCAAAAGAAACACTATCAGTTCTTCATTCAACCGCACAGTCGAAAATTAAACTGGAGGTTTGAAACATTGAGTCTCATTTATCTATTTCATCAATACAGAAAGAAGACAAGTGTCGCAAGATGTTAACATTTCGTTTAACTTTCTCAGTCGCCGACTTAAAAACAACAGACACATACGTAACACACGGTATTGATCAATTATGGTGAATGAACGTGTACAAGCATATAAAGACTACTAAACGTAGTAGAAAGCCAACTCCACAGTGAGTGGATGGATTGTATGGAAAATTTTTGGGTGATGCTTGTACAGGTTCATTCATCATAATTGACCAACACCACGTGTTATGTACGCGCCTGTTTGTTTTGAGTCAACTATTGAAAAGCTTAAACGACATTTGTCTTCCTTCTGTATTGACAAAGTGAAGGTGAAAAAGCATAGTACCAACAGTTCATAATAAACACAGATGTGAATTAGTGAAGGACCATCCAGGCAAACGACTTCTTATGATCGACCATGTGTTACGTCATCAACAAAAGCTTGGCACTCGAGGAGCTCGATGTTTTGTATGCATGACCTGTTGACTCCGACATACCGACCTTGCACTAAACCTAATTTGAAATTTGATGCAAACCCCGATTCCGTAATTGTCTTTCTATTCCACCCGTATAATTGTCATCACACCAACCCTGAAAAATGATAAAATAAGTTTGATTTTGCGTACATATATAGACGTTTTTTAATCGGGAGAGGGGAGCTGATATGCCTCCTGTTCCTAACATGCTGAGCCTATTACGTATTACGTTCATCGACAGGCACAGCAAACTGAACATCTAGTTGTTGCGTCAGAGTGTAGAATGAAGGCGATGATTTCTCTTTCATTCAAAGGTGTGATGTTATCAATCGGACTTACTACACAATAAAACGCAGAATAGTGCACAAGACAAGAAGCAAATCAGCCGCCCCCTAATTAAAAAAATGTTTACCTCTGTAAGCTGAATCAAACGAAATCTATCATCTCCAGGGTGGGTGTACATGAACAGAACAGGAAGTAAATTATGTACTCGGGGTTTGGATCACATTCCGAATGGGGATCAACGCAAGGTTGATGCGTCGGGGGCAACACGGCTGTTTACTACCGTGGGCCATGCATACAAAACGCGAAGATCTCCAAGCTTCTGTAGATTGTACAATTCCTGGTCGATCGAGAGTAATCATTTTGAGTGGCCTACACCAGAGACAATGCTGAAATGCCCAAGATAGCCGAAACGATTGCAATCAGGCGGTGAAAGCCCCCTTTTGTGTAAACAAAAAGAATTGTTCATCACTCTGTCTTCGCTTTGGTTGCCTTTCGGCCAGTTGCATATGATTGGTTAGTAATCCACACATCAACCCGGAATGAAAACTGCATTCATATGTAGTAGGAACCACGTGAGATGAGGTGAAATCGTCCAGGACAATGTTGACATACTGGTTTCTTTAGAATAAAGATAAGAATGTCTCTAGTGAACGACGTGCTCAAGGCCGCATTGTGTCAAACATTTTCAGTCGCACAGATTCGATTGATGCCGTACAAACGTGGAATTGGTCGGGAAAACAGAGTCGAATTTCTCTGATTGCATCTTCTTCCGTTTTCCTCACCTCCCGGTATTAGGCAGTCTTCTGGCCCCTTCATCCATCAGTCATCCACTCAACTCTTTACCCCACTCCTACAAGCAGACAGACACAATAAGCAGTGTTCAACGCTTAGTGTTTTTGCTCATGTAACCTGGTTCATTGAGGCTTTAATTGATCAAAGGTGAAAGATTGTTCAGATGTGTTTTCTGGAACACAAAATCTCCTTTAACTGAGTTGATGGAAGTAACAGGTTAATTCTCTGGGATCAAATATAAACTATCACCATCACTATTCAACTAACTGCTCGACTGCATCACAGACCGGATTCAATCCGACTTGGGTACGAAAGAATGATCATCTTGGGGCAAACCTATCCAATAATTCATACAAATAACTTCCAGTGTGAACAATACCAAGGAGTGAATCAGTAGTGGGCTGGTAACAGTGAGGTTAACGCATCCATTTTTATCAACTGGATGGATTTCCTCAGTTCATCACCGATAGTTATTCATAGTCCAAATACAGATCCTCCATAAAAATAAATATTTTAGGTTTGCAGTCCCAGTTATTTAGAAATATCGATTCCAAATCAATATATTTCGGTGTATGGATTTTGTTACCATGCTTTGCTCTACCATGATCATCTTTTGATAATTCCAGCTTTAGTCAGATATTCGTTTTATTTTATATGGACCGGAGAAAATTTTCCTTGAATCGTGATAACCTAGTCACAAATTCAAGAACAAACTTAACTGTCTGCAACCGTGTGGCACCAGTATCTGGTAACTTTCATCTGTAGTTGTCTCGTTCAAATAACATGCGTACCATGAGAAATGGATTTAGATAAAACCATTCGGGTTACAGTTAACCAGAGGTTCGATTAACTGAGTCGTGGCACTTTAAAGGGATCAAAATTGCTAGCTGGGTATATCTAGTTCGGATATGGCCAGCTGCTTCATCATTTCCTCAATCTTGCACCGGTCAGTAATTGCTTTGTTCATTTTCTGCTTTCTCCGGTTATTTCCGAAAAAATACAGGCAATAATCACACGGAATTAAAGAATAAAAACTAGCTTGGATTAAGCACAACTAATGAACATCAGAAGAACGGTTATATGTTCGAATTGTGCAACAAGGTCTCCATAGATTCCATTTCACCTGTTCGCCTAGCTGAGCGGTTTGTTTGCAAACGTCTCATCCACAAGCTGAGGAGACATCTTTGGTGCGTGTTGTATGACCATACCACTCTGTCAAAAGCTATCCATATTACACCCCAAAAATTGCATTCGCCTACAGTGCAATCAACAATATTTAAACTTTTCAACTAGCCAGCTGACTTTCAGGAACGAACGACAGCGTCCGAAAGCCTCAGTATGGCCCGCGGTGGCTGCCTCTGGTTGCGGCTAGTCACCCGTCCCTTGCACCCTTAGAAATGCGCCCATACGACCAAGCGTCTTAAATAGCCTCTGCTGAGAAAGCTTTACTCAATGCCTTCCCGTGGTGGTGTGTTCTCACAAAAGTCAGAATAAGAAAATCCGATACCCAAGGCTATAACCGGATCGATGAACCACTGACAGTTCGCCTAAGGGAGTTGATTAAAAACCCTGATTCCAAACAAACCAAGATGAAGCGTTCGAACCACACACCTTCCCGGTTGTGGCAATGGTCACCGGCTTAATTGCGCACCGAGGTGTATTGAACAACTTGGACATTTGATCACGTCCAAAGGGCGTGTGATCCAATGAACTGGACAACAGCCCTGCTGCCTTGCGGGTCAGGCTTGGGCTAGCGGAAGGCTCCGGTGGTGAACTCCATAAGGAAATTCACCTGCTCTGGTCTGGGAAATCTAGCAGTCTCGCACCCTCGAGCAAATCAAAAACCATTTTTTATAAAGATTATCGTACCGTGCTTTATTTGGTACACAGTTTGAAATCAAACGAGTTTGAAAATATAATACATATACATACATTCAGCCACTCTTGCGAATCAGTAACCGGTTCCTTGGTATCTTAAACACACGTCACCAAATCGCTATCAACCAATGATGTTTGTCACCTATAGTTGACATCACTTCTTAAATTCATCTTTAACGAACAAAACTGTGTGTAAATAAACAAAAAGCATGTTTTTTGCAGTTGAATCGTGTTCGAGGCTTATATCTCCGAGATTGCCTTGAATAGCATTCGCGTAATGCTGCCCTGAAATGGGCGTGACTTTGAAATATCTATATAGGTTCAGTGGTTCATTGACCCCACAATCGGAAGATCGACGGAATTCTTTAGGTTTCTCATGTAAATCCACACTGGTTTTGATTACAAATGTGATTTTAAGATTGAACGTCGATTTCACGGTTAAGCATTACTGACCCGTAGGGTGATGAACGAGCAGATATGAAACATGACAACCGTAAACAAAACGAATGGATACGAGTAAGACTGACCTTGCTTCTCGTAGTAATATTCCACTCCCAATTCGGCCAAGTAAGGTATAAGAGGTCGAGGATCGTAGGCTGAAGTGCCCGGATCCACAGTAACCGCACCCAAATGGAAGGACGCAGGAGTGGTTTCGGGCGAGCCGCGTTGCAACATGATCTGGTACTGATGTAATGCATGAAGCATGGACATACTATCTTTGCCTCCGGAAAGGCAAACTAATACTCGATCACCCGGTTGAATCATGCTGAATTGTCGAATCGCCTGCACGGTGGATTTGAAGACAAAGGTCAGGTTAGCATAGGTACGACAGTTATACTTCGAATATTTCATGAAATGATGATTATCGCACTTGGAATTCAAATTCAGTCGAAATCAAAGGCACAGTCAACAAATATTTGAAACAATCGAGCAAATAAGCTGCCAGACAGTGCGCGTGTCGTTCATCACACGTTACTCTGCGAAATATAGAATATATAATAAGGAAACGTTTGACATCAAGTCAAAACACTGACCCCGGAGATTAGCAACCAATGTTTTCCTAACTCCACCCCGTTTTTTGATGAACAGAAAAATGCACGAAGTAGATTGTAATGAAGACCAACGGTTCATTCATGGGAGTGGAGGGCTTCAACAGAGTAATTGTGATATTGAGTCACGCTACCGTAAAGCTGTCAGGTGGTGATATCAGTGTTAGAACCCTGAAGTTCAGAGCCTGGGACATGTCGATGATGGTGATTAAAACTGTTTTTCTTCCGCAAAAATACTGAAGTCATCTTTATTCATAGTTAAGGGCTGCATTGAACAGGATAAATCATTTGCACTCCATGCAACATTGGATTGAAGATACAATCGCAATCGTGCACCGAGATGGGAAAACAACTATATATCCGATTGCATGGATCCAAATAGAAAGACGTGCGATGACTGCACGAGTCAGAATGTTAGGAATGCACAAGTTGTGATAAACAATGGGTGCAGGGTTTAAGAAGGCTGACAATGAATGGAAAAGGATATGCGGGAAAGGTGAACATGTCATGAGGAGATGAATAATCTGGATTTTCAGAGAGCGTATTCGTCTTTTTGTCAAAACAATACGAGAAAAACAAATCCGATTCAAGCTAACTTTCCAGTAATTGGTTCCTGCTGCGTGAACTCTTTCCTGAAGTAGGAAAAGACACCAATTGAGAAGGAATACTTCAGTCTTACACCTTGCCTCAAGTGTATCTCCTCCATTTCGACTGACGAAAGTGACATCATCGATGGAGACTGATTACCACAACAACTTGGATTGCCACTTTAGGGAGAACGCTTAACAAAACACTATATATGAGGACTAACTACACTTTTTGTCGATTGCCCTAGACTGCCAGGAAAGCTTCACATAATTTTATGTAGCTGACGGAGAAACAAGTTTCTACCATTTCCCTGATGCAGGCTGCATTGATGAAAGTGGACAGCTGCAAAATTATTCAAGGGCAATAGCCGATTTTCAAATATGAGAGGCGTGAGAAAGCAATGGAGATATTATTTATTGACTACACATAATGTCTGCAATGGTCATTTATAGGCACAATGCACGGAATGAGTAAAATGATACCAGTAACCAAGCTAATTTAACACAAAATATCAACCAGTCTTTTCCGTTGGATACCGCAGTGTCACGAACAATATTCAGTTTGAACACCAATTAGCCATCTTTCGGCTACCCTTCTGGTCGTTCACAGAGAAAAGACTACTTGGAAGAAGTGTAAGGCTGAAACAGCGCCAGAAGAGAGGGGAACTAAATGTGCGCAGAAAGTGAGTAAATAGATGAACACTGCCACATCATCCAGTTTCTCCAATCATTGATCAGGTTGGTCACGTGATTCCCGACCAGGGAGCATAATGTGTCCTATGTGAGTAAATTTTCTGGTCAAGATTTTCATTCCCGGAAATTATGCATGGTATGAATCCTATTGGCCTTCTTCAAAGCGCTGCCTTCCTCGACAAAAATCGCACAACGAAGAGGCCTATCCAGAAACAATCATCAAACACACTGTAGTTATTACAACCCATGGAGTCCATTGTCACGAGAGTTATAGTAATGGGCAACTCAAACCCTCGGAAGTGGAAGGATGTGGCATTTAGCCAGATAACAGCTAGACTACCAAGCAAAAGTTTCGATAAGTGTGCACCGAAATATGGAACTCACCCGTAGAACGGATTTAAAGAACGGCTTTGGTGGAGTGCGCCACAGACTGGATTGACTAGTAGAAGTGCTTCGGGTGGGTGGCTTTGATGATTCAGACGAAGCGAAGGAACAAATACAACGATCAGATTCGCTGGGAGTTGATCGGTTGGCAACAGGACTAGCGGAAATCCCGTGATGATTATTTGTCATCTCAACACTCGAGCATGTACCCAAGGGAGACTGGCACTCTTCATACTGATCAGTTTGCGGGCATACGTCCAGTTTTTCTGTCACAGATTGCCTGGCCCCGTACGTGATTTCATTATTCAAAGAGAGCTGTATAGGGGACGATATGCCATCCACACCAGAATCGTATTCGACGTCCGCCGATCGAACTTGAGCGGAACACAGTTGCAGCTGATCATCGTGCACCTGAACATCGCTCACTGACCGGGTTCGGGAATGCTTTCCCTTACGATGCGGAATGACCGTGATACTATTAATGGTGATGTCCTTCACGCGGTAACGAGAATAATTGAATGGAGTCACCGAAACTGGCCCCTCTAGTTGTTGTACACTGGCGGGTAAATCTGATGAGCACTTGTTCAACAGCCTATCAGGTACACTGGAATTGCTGGAAGATGCCTTGGCCAATGCGAGGGTAGGGTTTGATTCGTGAGAAGGATTTTGTAAATCTGGACAGAAACAGCTGACTAATGAGCCTGGGTGCCAAGGGGAGGGATTCGGGTTGGAGACGGCCAGTTGGTCTGTTTGAAACAAAATAAAGTAGGCGATTCAATTTTTAGGTAACTCCCAGATTGACATTATGTTGGTATATTCCACAAAGTTGGCGTAGGTGAGAATGCAAACGGAATCATGAAAAAGCCTACCTAATTCTTGCAGGTTTCACACTAGTTGAGTGTAACTGCAGAATTACGATAGCTGGACGTTTTCAAGGAAGAATTTTGTGATACTGGTATTCAGCTTCATAAATGCAACCGGGTGGACGAAATAGCGCGTGAGTATCGGGGTTGCCCAGCATGGGTCGATCTTGGCTGTTCAGTAAACAGCGAGAAAAGTTATCATTGACTGTAAAGTTCAGGTTTACCGATCCTCCACCATGTTAGTAAGGTTTCTGACGGGTACATTGCATCCGGTTATGCACAAACCAGAGAAAAGCTACGCACCGGAGATGCATCGAAACTGTCTACGTTAACTGTAACAAGTCATCATCATCATCGTACAGCGAAAGATTGTAAAGCGAACTTCACTGACCGCTGCCAAACTCGAAATGCATACAAGGTTAGTGGTAAAACCTAAGATGGACAAGGATTAGACCTGTTTTGAGGGAGGGGGAAGAAGGTGAACCTCTATGGTCAACACAAAGAGTACGCAATCGAACTCTGCATACATACCGTTTCAAGCATTCTGATAAGGAACGACAACAAGAACGTCACTGCTGCCGGTTCGCTGCCATATTCTTCAGTGTCTCCAACCAACCAGTTGTGGACTCTTTCGGACCCTAACCTGGAAGGTGAGAGACATCTACTCTACCCAATGGCTCTAATCGTTTCTTCATGCCTCGTCTCCACGTCATCTGTTGACCTCCACGTGGTTTCCTCCAGCCCGGATTAGCCACAGCGAATAAAGCGCGGTGCGGCAGACGACAGCTGGGCATACGCAATACGTGCCCTAGCCAGCGAAGCTTAGTAATCTGAATTCGGTATGCTAGCAGGTTTATACCTGACAGACTCCCAAACACACGACAGTTTCCCTCCATTTAACTAACCCGTTTGCTTCATCCAACATGGGCTAAACTGCGTAATCGAAAACTTCTAGTCGACGGATATCTTCTAATCGCAAATTCAGGGTCTCACAACCAAGGACTGAACGAACGCCAGCACTATAAACAAGACCTTTCAACTTCAGTGAAACGTCGCGTCTACGCCAAAGGTGTCTCAGTCCTGCGTATGCTGCTCGAGCCTTGGAAATGCGGGCGGTTATCTCTTTTATTGAGCTACCGTCATTGGTCACGCAACTACCTAAATAGGAAAAGCAACCCACCACAACTAAATCTTGGCCATTTAGTGTCAGAGTGGGAGTAGACGAAACCCAGTCCTGCAGTATCACTTTGCCCTTTGAAGGTGCAAAACACATACCGAATGTGGCCACTGCACTTGTTAATCTATAAAGTGCACTTTGCGCGTCCTCCATACATTCGAACAGACAGCGTACTCTAAATCGCACAGCTTTTCTCAAGCTGTCTATTCAATACCTACGTTTTAGAGTTCCCTTAGTGCGCTCTCCAGTATTTCGTCTACGACGAAATTGAACATGAACGGCGAAAGAGGGCACTCTTGACGAACACCGCTGCTGGTGACGAACAGCCTACTTAGTTCGTTTTATACCCTTACACGACCGGGGGTCTGTGAGTGCAGTGACCTCAGTAGGTTAACCTACTTCTGGGGCACTCTTTTTCGAAGAAGGCAGCCCATCAGAGCTTCGCGGTCAACTGAGTCGAAGGGTTCTTTCAAGTCAAGGAACACTGCGATTGTTGGCCGACGGTGAGTATGACGCAGCTCAAGGATCTGACGCAACGTAAAAATCTGATCAATACATCCACGGCCAGGCCGGAATCCGGCTTGCTGTTTACGGATGCTGGTCTCTCTTAAAGGCGTCAGACAGCGAAGTATAACCGACGCTAGCACTTTAGTGACGATCGGGATCATACTTATCCCGTGGTGGTCTTCGCAATCGTTGCGAGATCCTTTCTTGAAAATGGGAACGATCAGTGATTCGCCCCAAGATGTTGGAATGTGCTCTTGCATCCAAATGTTGCGCAGTAGGGTAGCAATAGAGATTACGAGGTAATCACCTCCCATCTTGAAAAGGGTGGGAAGGAGCTCATCAGGTCCTGCTGCCTTTCCTCGCTTCAAAGCTTGAATGCAAGACCGAACTTCTGCTTCCGTTGGAGGATCGTATGACAGTGCCCACGGAGCTTCAGTCGGAGATGAAGCAGCCTGGTTAGCATTAGGCCAATTGAACTGTTCGCTGAAGTATTCTGCCCAACGATCAAGTCGTTGATCCCTATTGTGCATAGTTCGTCCCCTCTTATCGCAGACTATTTCACTAACCGGATGTCGCCGACCTCCCGTAATGCATATCAGTCGGAACAGTCTTTGACTATTCCCTGATGCAGCTGCTACTTCTANTTAAAGGCGTCAGACAGCGAAGTATAACCGACGCTAGCACTTTAGTGACGATCGGGATCATACTTATCCCGTGGTGGTCTTCGCAATCGTTGCGAGATCCTTTCTTGAAAATGGGAACGATCAGTGATT